GTTTGGAGCAGTTTTAACCGTGACCCAGAACCATCAGTTTCCAGGAAGGTAAATTGATTCAGCTGGCAGAAACCCGAAATCAGACTCATCTTTCTTAATCTTTTTCCGGCTTCTTGGAAACGTCTTGGCCTTTTGGAGAGTGTAATGAGCTCACAGGAGAGTTTAATGATCCATGTCCTCAGCTTCCAAATACAAGATGTGCACCGCTGCAACCAGCCTCCGTATCCAGTGGAAGCTGAGCTGATCTTTTTGCGGCTGGGCTGCTTTCTGCTGTTTCAAGGATAATTTCAGATTGTGCTAATAATTCAGAATTAGAAAATATAAACTTTTTTTTTTTTAAATAAATACAGTCACTCTTCAGAGTTCTAGTATTCTGCAGCGATGGACGATGGACAATAGATTGCTTTTAAGTAGGCTGCAGTTTTTTTTTTTTCAATACGACAGACTCTGACAAGATGTTCTCACTGTGAAACAGGTTTTTCTTCCTTTATGTTTTTTTAAAAAACATTTATTTTAGTAAAGTTTTCTTTCATTAATTCAAATGTTTTTTAAAAAACATTTATTTTAGTAAATAAGACATTACATTTAACATCTTTATTTTTTCCGTCTAGTCCTCATTTCTGCGTCCACTCTCTCCCCTCCGTCTTTGTCCTTTTGTCACCCACTCCCCAGCCTCACTCGTTACTCACTCCTCCACTAGCATGACCTCATTTCCTCACCCCTGCGCCCCCACCTCCCATGTCAGGTGTCAGCTCTTTACCAGGCAGCAGAGCGGTGTGCCGGTGTGATCAGCCTGCCAACAGCCAGGTAAAAATAGGAGTCTTATTTATTCCATTAGGAACTGTCATTTTAACAAAGAAGTCGCAGGAAAAGAATTTCTAGCCTCGGAGCGAGAGGTTGAAGCTGAGGAGGAGGAGAGAGGAGGCTGTGAGGAGGAGCAGGAAGAATTTATCTGACCCTGACCCTGACCCTTTGTGACCCAACACACATATGCAGAGCTTACCTCCACCGTCGGGTTTCACAGAATGATTTTTTTTTCTTCCTGTCAAGAGGTCGGAGGTCAGATATGTGTGATGAGACAGTTCATGGTCTGGGTCATGTAGGTGACCCTCAAGGTCACTGTTGGCTGGAGGGGGCAGTGGCTCCACACCACAATTTTTTTCGTCCAGTCGCCGTCTCTCTGTCCACGTGTTTCTGCGACTCATCACGTCATCTTTTTTTTCTCTGCTGCAGGTTGTACTCATACAGTACTACTGCAGTAAATCTTTCAGCCAATCTCCTTCCTCCGACTGACAGTTGGTGTGAGGGTCAAGGAGTCCAGTCCAGAGACGACAGAGTCAGGAAGGCAGTGGACGGGGTGAGGGCGGGTGAGGGCGGTGTTGAAGTGATTACAGAGGAAACCTTTAAGGATGCAGTTGGAGGTTAGGGAGATAATAAAGATGTGTGAAGGAAAACCAGGAAATGTAGAGGAGGAGCGGAGGGAGGAAGAGGAATTATTAAAGGAACTAGTGATTTTGACAAAAGGAGGAGGAGGAAGAGGAGGAGGAAGAGGAGGAGGATTACACAGAGGCAGCAGATGTGACACCGAGGAGGTGTGGAGAGAGGCGTGGGGGAGATGCCATCTCCTTCTCCCTAAAGGTGGAGTCAAGGTGATGAATGTGTTTTTCTAGACTGGAGACAATTTTGGAAGAACATGGAGCAGAGCTAACTGCTAACTGCTAACTGCTGCTGTTCGGTAGAGTGTTAGTTTCTTTTAATTTAAGACACTGGGATTCTCACAAAACTCTAAGTAAAAAAAAAAAATCGGTTTGTCAAAAAACACCTGTTTGTCTGGTGAGAAATTCAACACAGTCAAAAAGGAGGGATCTGCCATTCAGTTTGGGTGAGTGGAGAGGGTGGGGGAGGGGGGTGTGAAAGAGAGATTCTGAACACAAGGATAGAGAAGACAGCGACATGTCCAGACTAATGAAGTAGAACTGCTCTGGCAGCGGAAGTTGAAAATGGAAAGACATTCTCTGAGTGTCCTGCCATAAAACTGATGGACTGTGTGTGTGTGTGTGTGTGTGTTTGTGCACGTGTAAATGTAACATTGTAGGAGCAGGAGAACAGAGCAGACTCAGAGTCCATACATCATCAGTATCTGTAGTATCTGAACAGTACACAGAACAGTATTTGCATCACAGTACACTAAAAAAACAAACAAAAAGAAAGATGTTCCAAAGATCACATTCATGGTTTTCTGTATAAACCAGAGGGATGTACTGTAGTGTGTACTACAACTGAGTATTTAATACACATAAGTACTGCGCCGGCTGCAGTTGAACTTTCTCTCAGTGGGTAGAGCTCCTGCCTTACAGCAAGGACATCACCTGTTTGATCCCAGTGGGAACTGATGCTGTTTCTATATGAAATTTACATTTTATCCTCAGCTGCGTGGGTTGTTTTTTTTTCCGCCCACGACCTGTGACTGTGTGAACCTAGAACACCACGCTGAGGGTGAAAAACTCCTCTTCTCTGCCTAGAAGGATATCCATCCATCCATCCATCCATCCATCCACACCTTTCTGACCCTGTGACCCCCCCACTGCCCACCTCCTCTCTGTAAACTCTGACCCCTGATTCCCAGTATTCCCAGCCCTCCTCGTTCCCTCCGTCCTCCCAGATCGCTGCAGCCGACTCTGAGGTGTTGGCAGTAATGAGCCACTGTGTCCTTCTCCTGCTCTGATCTCCAAACTTCAGTATTCTCCTCACTACTCTCTATTTTTAAACCTTTCTCACGGCGTCGTTAAGGACTTTCTGTTATGTTAATAAGCCTAGAAAAAAAAATCCAGGTTTTTCCTCTTTGTTGCTCCAGTTATGGATGTTGTTACAGATTTTTCAACCTAAAGGACAATTCTCATTTTCTAAACTTTAAAGCTTTTTTTCCTTGGTGTTATAAAGTTAGTGGATTACTTCGATTTATCATGAAAGTTTGTCCTTGTCATTAATATTGAGCAAACACTTAACTTTTCTAATTAAAATTTTCCACAAACCCGTCTTTACTGTCCAGGCTAAAACCAAGGAACAAAAAATGGATTATAAATTAAAAATGCCTAGATTTACATCATCCTGGACCATGTGACCAACCCTGTGTGTTCAGCCCCAGCAGTATTTAGACAAAAGGCCTTACATTTCAAATTCTGAAGTCAGCGTCTGTAATTTGTTTTCTTTAAACTTTTGATGAAACTGAAAATGTATTCCGTGCCATTCGTCCCATGATGCTCTGGGGTTCCTTCAGAATTCTTTCTTTTACAAATCCACCAGTGGATTCACTGTTCACTTGACAGCGTGTACGGACGTAGACTGCTGCTAAGGGTTAGCATCCCATCAGCAGTCTTCACACAGAGGTGAGCTGGGAGGTCTGGAGTCTACTTTACTTTTTCAATCCCACAATTCACATTTGTTCACAAAAAAGTACTGAGAAATGAATGGAGAAAAAAGTCATTTTTTAACATTGGATTTTTTTTATTTTCTGTACCAGAATTTTAAAAATAAAAAGGATTAGATTAGCTGTTCACGCTAGGTTGGCCATAGGTGTGAATGTGATTGTGAATGTGATTGACCGAGGACTGCTCCCTGTGGGACTGTTGTAACTGGTTTCTCAGTGTGGATGGG